GTCCCAGGTGGCGTTGTTGGTAACTAACTAAATTTAATTGTATAGTCAAGACCACTTAATGCCACATTACCCTTTATGTATTAGTTAAATTTTGTTCTGTTTTGTTTTAAACCTAGTTGTAAAAATGGATCCATACTTGAAATTAAAGTCATGTAAACTCCATTGTTAAATCCTGCTTTTTTCAGCTGAGGAGACTGTCCAAGTTAAAACCCATCCTGTCAAATAGAAATCTGGAGACAGTAATTCATGCGTTCATTACATCCAGGCTGGATAACTGTAATGCTCTGCTGTWTGGAATCAGCCAGTCCTCCGTTGCTCGTTTACAATGGTTCAGAATGCAGCAGTCAGATTTCTAACTGGCACAAGGAAAAGAGAACATATTACTCCTGTTCTAGCATCTCTTCACTGGCTTCCGGTTCATTTCAGAATTCACTTTATGATCCTCCTGTATGTCTTTAAATGCCTAAACAACTCCGCCCCCTGTTACCTCTCAGATCTAGTGCATCCACTTGTCCCACAGCACTCTCTTAGATCATCTGGTCAGCTGCTTCTGAAGGTCCCTAACTCTCGTCTTAAACTGAAAGGTGACAGATCCTTTTCTGTAGCAGGTCCAAAACTGTGGAATGATCTACCACTACATGTCAGACAGTCTCCTTCCCTCGCTGTCTTCAAGTCTCGTTTGAAAACACACTACTACTGCCTTGCCTTTGAGTCTGAGTGAGATGGTGCAAAACCTCACCGTGTATCATAACTCTGTTCTTTATGTACTGTAAATATGAATGCTCCATATTTTAACTGTATTCTGACTGTATTTTGACTATGTCCTGTTGTGTCTGTCTGTTGTACAGCACTTTGGTTGTCCTTGTGCTGTTTAAAGTGCTTTATAAATAAAAGTGGTATGGTATGGTACGGTAAACTTGGACACGGAGCACCCCCTACCCTACCCCGCGCAGCTGTGGTCCGCTTGCACCTCCACCCCACTCGTGTGTGATTAATACTGATTTTTTGCGAAAATAACTGATTTGTGATGCTCATTATACACGTAAATATCTGAAGGGGTTGACATGTATGAACTCTTAAGTCCCGGGCAGGTCGGGGCTTCGGTGTGCGTGAAAAGATGCCGCGGCTGTGGTCAAACTGCCTCTCTGCCCTCGGTTTAAAACCAGTCAGGTGATCTGTCACGGTTTTGTTGTGCTCGTGAACACACAGTGTTACGGTGGAAATGCTGCGAGGTGTTTTTAGAAATGTATATAAAATACGACATAATTCTCGGTGGAAAATAGCTCAGGTGAACACCTCCCGGGAAAACCCTCAGCGTTTCCTGGACTGAGTGAACCTGACCTCCCACCCACAGAGAAAGAAAAAAGTCAGCGGTGTCAGTCAGACGGCACGACCCGCCCTGCTCTGTTCTGATTGGCTAAAACTTTGACACTGGTTCTCTTTATTGGG